AGCTGTAGATCCGGCCAAAACAACAGCAATGCACGAATGGCCAACTCCTAAGAACGTGAAAGGGCTGAGAGGGTTCCTAGGACTGACGGGATAATATAGAAAGTTTGCCAAAGGCTATGGGATGCTTGCCAAACCGCTTACGGATCTGTTGAAGAAAGATTATTTTCACAGGAATGATGAGGCCCAAGCTGCTTTTGAACACCTTAAGACAGTCATGTGTAATCTGCCCACGTTATCCCTTCCTGACTTCAGCAAACAATTCACTGTGGTGACCGATGCATCAGGCAAAGGAATTGGGGTTGTGTTAATGCAAGATGGGCGGCCTTTGGCTTTCATCAGTCAGGGATTTTCACCACGTTCCCAAGGGAAGTCAGTTTATGAAAAGGAATTAATGGCGCTGGTATTTGTTGTGCAGAAATGGAGACACTACCTAATGGGCAGGCATTTTGTTGTCAAAACCGACCAAAAAAACCTGAAGTACTTGATGGATCAAAGAGTTTTGGGAGAGGACCAACAAAAGTGGACATCAGAATTGTTGGGATTTGATTTTGAGGTGCAATATCAGCCAGGTCGTGAGAATGTAGTGGCTGATGCGCTCTCGCGTGTGCACTATTTTTCCACTTATGTGGTCTCGTTGCCGCTGATAAAGCAGATTGAAGAGGAGCAACAAACAAACCCCCACCTGAGGCAGATTATTCTTGATTTGCTACATGACCCAGCAAGCCACCAAGGATTTTGAGTTCAGGGAGGAAGGTTAATGCTTAAGGATAGACTGGTGGTATCAAAAAAATCCCCACTGATTGCAGTTCTCCTTCGGGAATTTCATGACACCCCTGTGGGGGGACACTTAGGGTTCTTTAAGACTTTCAAAAGGATCTCGAATCTAATATAATGGGAAGGAATGAAGAAAACTATTCAAGCTTATGTCTCTCAATGTGTTGTCTGCCAACAGAATAAGGCCTCTAACTTGACACCAGCGGGACTATTGCAGCCACTCCCAATATCGGAGCAGGTATGGGTTAATGTATCTTTAGATTTTGTTGGGGGATTACCTAAGGCTTGTGGAGTGGATACAATTCTAGTGGTAGTAGATAGGCTTTCAAAGTACGCCCATTTTTTGCCATTATGTCATCCATATAGTGCGCAAGAGGTGGCATTGCTTTTTATTAAAAATATTGTTAAGCTGCATGGCTTCCCACAGTCCATTGTTTCAGACAGGGATAAAGTTTTCCTTAGTCATTTATGGTCGGAACTCTTTAAACAGGCTAGAACTTATCTGCGATTTAAACGGGCAAACGGAGATTGTGAATAAATGCTTAGAGACTTATTTACGGTGTTTTTGCCAGCCTCAGCCCAAACAGTGGCCTAATTGGCTACATTGGGCAGAATATTGGTACAATACCACATATAAGGCACCTACTGGAATCACCCCATTTAAGGCTTTATATGGGACTAATCCTCCATCCTTATTTCGAGCTGGGCAAGGTACTAGAGTGGCACAAGTGAAAAAGATGTTACAAGAAAGAGACGTTATGCTACAGGAACTAAAGCAACATCTGATTTTGGCTCAAAATCATATGAAGATCCAAGCTAATAAACACAAGAGATGTGGAGCTGGACATCAATGATATGGTTTATTTACGGATTCAACCATATAGGCTGAATCACCACCAGGGGAGGGGAGCGGAATCAAAAAACAGTTGGAAGAAAGAGAATAAGAAGAGGAGAAGGAAAGGAAGGAGGCATCTTTGGACAAATGAAAATTCTGGGCTTTTGGGAGAGATCAGGGGCTCTCCAACTCCTCTGAATTTATCCTTTATTTTTTGTTATTACTCAATTGGTGAATGTTAAATTGTTTCTAAACATTAGTTTGTCTTTGAAGATTGTTTATAGTCTGAGAATGGCAATTTGCATTTGAAATTTACGTTCCATGTAGCTACATTTCACAGTACAGAGAGTTGAAATACAGATTCCTATTTACAGTTTACATACTCTTCTTGGAATTTAAATTTTACAAGTGTTACATAGTCATTACAAGTAAAACATTTCTATCATCATTTTCAGACAAAAGATCTAGGAAGGCTTCAATACTTCTTAGGAATAGAGGTAGCCTAATCCAAAGATGGCATTATAATATCCTAGCAGGGAAGTATGCCATGGACATCATTCAGGAAACAATTGTGTTGAATGCAATGCTAGTTGAAACTCCTATGGATCCAAAAGTTAAGTTTCTATCAAACCAAAGGGAGCCACTCTCAAATCCAAAGAGATAGAGATAAGTTGGGAAGTTAAATTACCTCATAGTCACTCGTCCAGAGATCTTATTCACGGTTAGTCTACAAAGTCACTTACTGAATTCTCCTTGTGTAGAACATTGGAATGTAGTGATTCGTATTCTCAAGTACATTAAAGCAGCTCCTGGAGAAGGTCTTATCTATGGAGATAAAGGTCAGACATTGATTGGGTATATTGTCTATCAATAGGAGATCCACTTTTGGGTAGTGTATTCATTAGAGATAACCTGATTTCTTAGAAAAGAAACAATGCAATTGCAAGATTAAGTGATGAAGCAAAAAATCGAGTCATGACATCATCTACTTGTGATAGAAAGAGATTGGGGGAGATGTAGCTCATAAGATTCAAGCTGGGATGAAGAAATGAAGGAATGCTTTAGGCGTTACTTGTGATAGAAAGGTGCCTCTCAAGGCTCTGAGGAAAATTCTACAGAACATCTATTGGACCAAAAATGCTTTAGTGAACCAAATGTTATGCGGTAAAATGCTAACAAGAGTATAAACTAAGTGTTGTGGAGATACAATGTTTGTGGTGGATAAATGGACATAGCAAACTTTTCAATTGCAGCAGCGCAAACCTCTACCAAATCCCATTTTTAGCATCATGGCCATACTAGTCTATTATAGTGTAACACTGGCCTGAATTGCAGCCATAAGGACTGTGATGCTTCTGCATGATTCAAATCTTTGTTTTTATTTATTTTTTTCTTACTTTGAATGAATCAACCCCACTAGATGACATTTCACACCAGGAAAACTAGAGCACAATAACAGCCAAACAAACACTGAAACAGAGCACAATTAAACAGCTAAACCAACAAGAACACAAAGTAGAAACAGCAAGCATGGAAGCAAAAATAACCAGCAAGCACTCATCCAGATCAAAACAGAAACATATGAAAGGAGGGAAGAGTTCAGCCCCAACCATCTGAGACGACCCACATCACTAAGCACCCAGCTATCCAGCCGTCACCTAGCAGTCAGCAAGTACCCAATCAAACCACCCACATATCAAAGCACCCAAGCAAGTAAAATGAGAGGTGGGGCCGAATGAGAGATTGCGGTTGAATGAGATATTGTGGTAGAATGGGACGTTCAGATGAGGTTGAATGAGATAATGAGGTCAAATGGGGCATTTAGATTTGGGTGGGTTCAGTATTTTCTCAAAAATCAGTTGCTCTGCCACTTTTATTGGGACTTTCATTGCTCTGCCACTTACAAAGATCAAAGCTCCTATATGATCTTGCTCAACAATCCTATGTTTATCCCACCAAACCAAGTTGGTCGATGTAATCAGGATCAAAGCTCCTACAAAAGATCCTAAGATCATGTGGTCCTAGAAGGTAAATTATGATCTTGACAACCTTGATTACAGCATTTTTACGGTGGCCGCTTTGCACCACATTCTGCATTAACTACTTTGGAACATACAAGATAGGATTTTCCTGCAAAAGATCATGTGGTCCTAGAAGGTAAATTATGATCTTGACAACCTTGATTACAGCATTTTTAAGGTGGCCGCTTTGCACCACATTCTGCATTAACTACTTTGGAACATACAAGATAGGATTTTCCTGCAAAAGATCCTACGATCATCTGGTCCTACAAGGTAAATTATCATTATGATCTTGACAACCTTGGTTACAGCATTTTTAAGGTGGCTGCTTAGCACCACATTCTGCATTAACTACTTTGGAACATATAAGAAAAAAAAAAGAATTAGGAATGAATGTATTTAACAGAAAGTTAGAATAGCACCCACCTATTGAGGAAAATCACAACATCTCACCTAAGATAGTTTGGCCAAGTGAGAAGACTAATATAGGCCTTATTGAGTTGATCAAATGGAGCTGATAAACAGAGGTAGAGGAAGACCAAAGACCCCAAGACCCCCTGATCTAAATGGTTTTTCCAAAAATCTGGTTTTTGATACAACAGAGTGGCATCATTTAAATCTGTACAAGCAACATTTTCTTCTCTCTTTCTATAAAAAAAAGAAGTATTATGACAGTCTCACAAACAGCCCTTTGCAAAAATGCAAAGGTAAAGCAACGTACAATCGACCCTCACACCTACCCTTGCAAGTCAAGAAGCCTTGTGCACCGGGGCGGAGACACACACAACCTATGTATATTTGTCTTAAAATAATTAGATAACCAAGTACCCAACTAGCTCAGTTTATTGTCTGTTGATTTATTTGTGTTGTCACACAATAAATGGATAAAAAAATGAAGATATTCGATAAAAGATAGGAGAAGTATCAATGGCAAAAAAATATGATAGATCATAGATTGAGATGACCTAGGCATATTCTTCGAAGACCCCTAGATATTCCCATAAGAACAAAAGTTTGTTACTAAGAGCATGACACAAAGAGAGGAAGAGTCTACCAGAATTTACTTGGGGGAAAATAGTAACACAAGAGTTCATGGAGTGGGAAATATATTGACATGCAGTTCGTGTTAGGACAAAGTAGAGAAAAGCTATTAGCATTGTTAAGGAATAAACCGATTATTTCTTCACAATGGCAATTAGGTCAAGATGATGTCAAAATTATGTACCAAAAAAAAAAAAAAAAAAGATGACGTTAAAATCCCGACCTAAAAAATGCAAAAATATAATTCAATGTAAAAGATGGTAATATATTTTATATGACGCCAAATAAAGTATGCAACTGAAGAAATTTGGTTCAAAGAAACCCCCTACCTTAACATGATAGCTAACATAGGCATGAAAAGTTGATAGACTCCACACTGTACGATCCAGTTTCTGGCCTTCAACATGACGAGGGAAGATAACTGCAGAGTTGAACATGTTACATTGCAGTGATACTAGCAAAAAGAAATGAAATAAACATTGTGACACTTTTCCAGACACTAACCAAATGTTACAAATCCTGCATTTGCAGATAATGCATCAGTGGAAACTCCTTTCAGTTCCAGTGGAGGAGTAAAAGACCACGAACAAGGAGGGGTATTATTGAGTCCAGCTGTACGCCTAGCTTCGACAAATTCCTAAATTATAACAATCAAACAATCAAAATTGAGCAAAGAACCACATAAAGAATAGTTTACAAGATGCAACAAACATCCCCCTCCCCCGCCCGCCCGCCCGCCCGCCCGCCTAGCTTCGACAAATTCCTAAATTATAACAATCAAACAATCAAAATTGAGCAAAGAACCACATAAAGAATAGTTTACAAGATGCAACAAACATCCCCCCCCCCCCCCCGCCCTTCTCTCTCTCTCTCTCTGTGGAAGATTAAAGGAATTACCGAAGAAAGCATACCTGCAGAAATGAAGTTGCAAGGACAATGTCAATTGAGTCGTTGAATCTCATAGGATACACCACAGTCACCTTATCAGCCTGTCAAAATAAACTGTTCATCATCTAGTCCTAAGATATGCTTCCCGCATAAATAACTAAAACGGACCAATTTAAACAATGCCAACTTCAATTGAGTCAAGACAGTTTAACAAATCTACAAAGCCCGAGGCAACATACACTTCTTAATATAACACAATCAAAATCAGAACAAGACTAGATCTTTCCAATTTCGAGTTAAAAGAATTCTTTATTTTATTTACTCCTTTTATGTACATCAAAACTAAAAATTCACAGCAAATATTGTTGCGGGTTTACTGATCACACAAAAAGCACTATCTCCTAATATTAAAATATATTATTACTTGATCAAGGAGATTTATTTGGTACAGCAACTAATTAAGGAGGTTTCTTTAAGCATTTAATTCTATTTGGGATGAAACACAAGATCTTTTGAATGGTTTTCCAATAGAGATATGTTGACGGATCGGGCAGCGTTGCTCATTGAAATTTTATCTTCATTGTTTGAGGTTTTCTTTTATGTTAAAGTGGATCAATTATCCTCTAAATTCAATTTAATTTCTTATTTTTGTTTTAATGTTTGTGTGTGTGTGTGTCTATATATATCTTCTATGTATCATTTATTTAGATTATAGTAATTTAAAGAAAAAAAAGTTGGTTATGTCCTGCAAACTTCGAGAAATTTCTGCTAGGACACTTGAAAGGCTTTGAGAAGCATAACGAGGGCAGGACTTTAAGGAGATGCATGATATTGCAGTAACTTGATGCTTTTGGACAGGGGAAAATGCTAGAACTTTCGAGGATAAATTACAACTGACACTCTTATAGGATCTCAAGGAGCCGGTTCACCCAAAGCTTGAGCTGTTGACAGCGAAGGCCAAGGAACAACTTTGGACAAAAAGATGTTTTTCTGTTCAATTATGATGTTACTAAATGTTCTATTCGGAGGGCTTTCTCTGTTAATGCAAAGGGATTGGCAAGCGCTCTCTCTCTCTCTCTCTCTCTCTCTCTTGGTTTTGTTCTCTCTCTAGTTTCCTTTTAATAGACTGTCTTATTCTCTTTCTTTGTACATATCTTCTCTTTTCTAAGAAGGCTCCTTATATTATATGCATAAAACCTGACAGGGAACAAAATTTAAGGTAAAAGCAAATTATACTGCATTTAATATTATTATGGAAGAGGGCGAGCCTTGGAGCAGCGGTAAGGTTGCTCCTTGTAACCGGAAGGTCACAGGTTCGAGTCTGGAAATCAGCCTTTTTGCAAAAATGAAAGGGTAAAGTTGCGCACAATCGACCCTTACCCCCTACCCTCGCAAGTCGGAGAGCCTTCTGCAGAGGGGTTTTCCTTTTGCCCTTTAACATTATTATGGAACTAATGCTTAATGTTGGAAGAAGAAAAAACTAAAAGCATAAGTGAATAAAGTATTCCAATCAGCAATAAAGACTTAAGTACAGAAAGTTGCATCTATTATCACACCTGAGGAATAAGAAAAAAAGACTCTTTTGGCCGATGCACAAGGGCAACAACTGGATCCATGTCCGGAGCAACAGTTCTTGAAGCAAGATGTTTTAAAATTACTCTCAATGGTGCACCGAGGACAACCTCCCTTACTGATGCAACTTTTACCAAAAAAGCATGCCTTGGCTCTGCACAAGTTCAAAATTACCAAATGTCAAAGAACAACATTAACAACCAAATAATTGAATATAGAAATTCCTTTATTCCTTTTTTAATAAAACACGAGTTTCAAGTCAAGGAAAATTAGAACATAAGCATACAGGATTAAGGGGGAATAAAAGCTGATAAAAGAATCAATTCATTGTGACGAAGAGTAGAAAAAGTATAATGAATATAGAGGATAAGGGATCTTCAGAGGGGGAAGTGGAAAATAAAACAAGAGAAAACGAGAAAACAAAAATAAAGCTGAGCTACCAAATCCCTCAGCATATCTGTTAAGGAAACTGATAAGAAATACACCACCCCAAAAGCTTGCTCGAAGGGTGGGAGCAGTGTTGTTAAAATCGCGAGTTAAAACGTAGGATCGTACAATCCTACGATTTTCTCACCCTGGCTGATTAAAATAGCACATAAAATCAGTCTGAATCAAGATCGTACAGGATCGACGAGCAAGAGCGTAAAGACGGTAGGATTGTGCAATATCACCATTGGAACGATTTAAAAATTTTCAAACCTGTTTGCCTTCTGATGTGGAAAATTAAAAATACCCATGACCCAAAATGGAAAAATACTCAAAAACTTGAAGAGAGCACTTAGATCTTGCAACTGCTTTCTTCTTTCTAGTGAAAATGATTGCTAGTCTCTGCTTCTGGTGTAATGGTGCAAAACGAAAAACTTCGTTTACACTGTCAAGGAATTGAAGAGACCACTTAGATTTGCGATTGCCTCCTTCTCTCTCTAGTGACGTCACTACGAGTCTCTGCTTTTGGTACTGTGGTCAGAAACCCAGTGGTGTGAGCCTAGGAGCAAACCCATTGTGCTCTGTTACCTGGGTGATGTTCCGTTTTGATTTTTGGTTATCCTCGAATCACGTTCCTTGTACAGTGAAATGAAACCCATCTGTTTGTTTCTAAATGTTTGACTTTTTTTATTGTTTTATTGTTATCATTTTATGAAACCTTTTATTTTATATATAATTACACATACCCTGTTACTATTTCCTAATTCACTGTACGATGAAATATGAAATCCATATATTTATTCCTATTTCTCGCTTTTGTGTTTTGGCATTCTATGCATTATTGTATATATTGTTATTATTATTTTATTATGACCCTTTTATTTTATTACTAAGGAGAAAATTCAATCTAATTTTAATCTTTAATGATTGAAGTTGTGGTGGTTTAAATATTATTTTATATTTATAAAAAAAAATTATAATTAAAATAAAAAATGTAGGATCTTACCATTCGTCTTGATTCAACGACTTACGATCTTGTTACACCCTTCCGATCTTATGTAAGATCTCGATTTAACAACATTGGGTGGGAGTGTCTAAGGCTTTATAAACCCTACATTAGTTGCCCACACAACCAATGTGGGACTTCAAGTCTCATACCTTGCAAATGGGTCCTAACATTCCACCTTGCTCTGCAGCCCCGGCACCCACGCGGGCTGACTGTACGCTAGTCTTTTACTAGCCCTGGGCAAACATTGCAATGCCGGCGTCACCACCCGCGCCGCTCGATTGCAACCAGGAGACATAGTGGAAGGCTCTGATACTATTTGATAAGAACCTTGGGATGCACCACCCCAAAAACTAGCTCAAAGGGTGGGAGTGCCCAAAGCCTTATAAACCCCGCATTAGTTGCCCATACAACCAATGTGGAGAGTCTCGTACCTTGCAAATGGGTCCTAATAGAAACACCCATAAAAAACCTTGTGCTTTACACCAAACAAAAGCTTACAGCCTAATCATATCCCAAACAAGTTGCTGAGATAATTGACATCCTTAAAAATGCGAGCATTATGCTCCAACTAGATGCACCAAATGGTTGCTTAGACAGCATATTGCCCTAAAAATTTAGCCTCTTCACTTCTAACCAAGTAACAAAAGTTAGTCAACCAAAATTGGTCCATGGACATCAAGCAAACCCAAAACCAATCCCTATTAAACCCCGACTAGCAAGGGTAGGGGTGAAATGTAGCAGCACAATGCAGGAACATATGAGAAACCGATTTGAACAATCACCACATTTAACACACTTATAGGAAAAAAGGCCTTATGTAGCCTTTGAAAATTGAAACTACATGTCATTAGTGTTTACTATTATTACTTCTATAAAGCACTACAGTCCAAACAAAAGACCCACCCTAAGAGGAGGAAAATAGTTTAATTGTTAATAAAAGAAGAAATTCATTAAGACAAAAGAAAAATTTACAAAGAGTTGGGATAATAAGGAATCCTCATTAAGGTAAGACAAAAAAAGATAACAAAGAAAAACGAGAACACCAATGGAAAAGAAAAATTAAAATAGAGTTGGGATAATAAGGAATCCTCGTTAAGGTAAGACAAAAACATAAAAACAAAGAAAAATGAGAACACCAATAGAGCAAAGTTGCTGAGTTCCACAAATATCTGTTCGGGAAACCCTAGTAAAAAGGCAATGTTCTTTACACCAAATGAAGCAAAAAAGCTAATCTAATCCAAAATCAAGTGTTGTTCCATAGAAAGCTACTTAAAAATATAAGTTACCCTCCAACCCACATGCACCAAAGTGTAGCAAAGATTGCAAACTGCGACAAAAAATTTTACCTCTTGACTTCATGAAAGTTAGTCTTCAATAATTGGTCCTGGGACCTAGGACATAGCCAATATTCACCAAAAAGGCCAAATAAGGATTTCCATAGAGAAATGGAAACAGAAAAGTGTAAGAACAGATGCAGAACCAATTCTGAGCACACACCATATGTTAGACACAAATCAGGGGAAAATACTGATGTACTCTGAATCTCTGATAGCAACACTCTCAAAAGTTCAGATTATGTTATTATGTACCATGTGTTATGCTTTTATTGGACTGGTGTGGAGTACATAAGAATTTTTTCCTTAGAGGAAGCTTAGACTTCCACAAGGGGTTTACATATACATAAAGGAGCTTTGTTCAATGAATGAGTTAAAAATTGGAAAAGGAATTTAGACAAAACACCCCATAAGGGTCCTTCTATTAACCTGAGAGACTAAAATTCAGAAAATTCTGTACATTAAATTTAAAGAGAGAGTGTGTGTGGAAATTCCAAAATTACAAATCTTGAACACTAAAGTTGACTGCATTCAAGATCAACCAGGAGAGACTCTTTTTTATACATATAGAAAGGAAGTTCAGTCATTCCGAGCTGTTATACAGGTTAGTAAACTACCTGGACTAAACATCCCAGAGGAACATCACCTTGAGTTTTTATTTTATTCATGATTCATGACTGAAGTGAGGTTATGGGTCCATTTGTTTTATGCTTTATTAACTAAAAGTCATCTTTAAAAACTTTTTAAGATAATATTAATTTTTTCTAAAAATAGCAAAAACCCCAAGGAAAGCAAATTTAGCGCTTTTCAGAGGAGCTAGGTAGCTAGTGAACGAAGATCTAAAGAAAAGTTACATCATAAAAGTTCTTTTTTTCAAAGCTTATCCAAACGCGCCCTGATTCCTTCCATTTTCATGCTAGCATACCACTACCAAATTGAAGGATGAGAATGAATAAAAATTCCAATTTCAGAATCATATTCCATTCTTGTTTTTTATAACCTCTTTGCCAATATGCAAGGGTAAAGCAACGTACAAGGATTACTCTCACTCCACTCTCGTTAGTTGGGGTTTAATGGGAAATGATTAATTCCATTCTTGTTTTTTATTAACTCTGGCTAGTGCAATTTTACATAGGCTAGAATCTAGTGTTAGGGCAGAGGTAGAGAGTTGGCAAATAAATGAGATTGTCATTTGTCACCTTATACATCCTCATTAGTTCTTTCAAATTCAATGGACAACAGACCATCAAGCTAGTGTAACAAACAAGGCATAATTATGAAATCCCATGCCTTGTCTCTTCTTCCTTCTCTAGCTTATCAGTCTGACTTGCCGCTGCATTAACAAGCACCAATTCCATAACAAATATTTCCAATTAAGTGCCCCTGTTGAGTAACCATCCTATAAATCACAGATCTCTACTTGTGTTGCATTAAAAGTTAAATTTTCCAACCTAAATATGGTTTCGTACATCATATTCTACAATCCCTTCCACCATCAAACAGTAACCTTGGCAATCCCCATTCGTATTCACATCAAATTACAATAAACAGGATAGTGATGTGTCCATATACACATAATAGGGAGGTTAAGTTATACTTCAATGTTTGGTAATCAGATTATGAAAGACCCACGTACAAAGGAGTAAAGGAAATGTAACCCTATATGAATACATGATGAAGAATGAAGTTTAATTTTCATTAGAACTTTCCACTAAATTTGGAAATTAGGGTTTTCCATTTTATTTGTGATTTTGAATTTGTGTGAGTTGGGGTTCTTTTTGTTACTTGTTGGATTCAGATTCTTTTGATTGTTGGATTAAAATTACTGAAGAAGAATGCTTTTCTAGAACCATAAACAATCTCCAGCTGTTCCACATTTTGAACTGAGACAGATTTGACATTGATTAAAAGACTAAATTTTAGAGAGTGTACAACCATTGTCTTCCTTTGGGTTACGCATCAAAAAACAACATTAAGCTGAACTGAAAAAGCAAATATAAAATGCTCATAATATAGATAATCCAGAGCACATGATAGATGATATATATATATCCCAATATGTCATTAATTAAATTATGCCGTAGGATTAGTTATATGTTTTCAGATTCATACCAACATCAAATTTGAAAATAGAAACGATCAACCAAATGTTAGTATATGGTGTCCTAGAGACAATCTTTTGATTAAATAAGGACATTAAATGTAGACCTTTATTGTCGCAAATAAATAATAAACACTCTTTATCCTGTTTCATATTGTGTCTCGATATTATTGTTAATATATATTATAAATAAACTGGATAAACCCCTTGGAATAGAACAGGTATCTCTTGAGTATTTGTGATGAGATCACAATCATGAGGATTCAAGGATACCGCACGTTTATTCCTAATTTTATGTTCCTAGTCTAGAGACACTGAGAATGGGGATCAGTGATCTCGGATAAGGCTAGCACGACTTATCTACTTGTATACGGATACAAGGTAAAGACCTCATGTGCTACAGATATGAAGATGTCTTAGCTAAAGTCGTGGGTGGACCTATGAGGGTATAGCTCGCACTTAACAGACCCACAAAGAGACTCTATGAGGAAATCTCACAGAGAGTATCATTAGAGTAGTCTCTTTATATTTGGGTATGTCTTTCCTTAGACCAGAAGTTATTACCTAGACTGTGTTCTAGAAGGCATACTTTGACTGTATACCTCGTCTGCCTGAAACATGAAGACTCATAGGTATACTGTTGGGCTTGTCCTGAAAGAGCACAGGGCTAGGGTGATAAGCTGAAGGAATTCGTCGAATCTCTGTGAGAGATTAGGTTATCTGTAAACCGGAGAAATCGGGATGACATTTACAGGGACTCGGGAATCTATGCATAGTAAAAGAGATCATGAGATGATCTGCCTTTAGAGTCAGTAAATTGAAGATTCCCTATTTCGAATAAAGCTTACCCTAAACCACAAGGGTTGATACATTTCCTTACCCTAGGTTAATGGGAAGGTAACCGAGACGAAGGGAAATACATACGGCAACCAAATATGTGTAATAGGATGATCAAGTCATTAATCTAACTAGTTCTGGGGCAACAAAGCATTGCTAGTGCTCTGTGTTGTCATTAGATGGGTTGTGGGCTTATTGGGCCCAAACCCGTTTATGTCAGTGGCTATGTTGGACCTAATGGGTCACACGCTAACACCTAATTGTCTAGATAAACTAGCATTAAAGGTATTGGGCCTAATAATGGTCATTAGTCCAAGAAGTAGTTTGGAAGTCCACCTTGAGGGTGGAGGGCGCATGGATCAAAGTAATGGGCTTGGATAGTTCAAGACACTACTAATTAATTTAATTGGTTAAATTAATTATCAAACATTTAAATTTTGAATTTTGAAATTTGGAATTTGAATTTTGAAATTTGAATTTTGAATTTGAATTTTGAAATTCGAATTTTGAATTTGAAATTTGAATTTTGAAATTTGAATTTTGAATTCGAATTTTGAAATTTGAATTTTGAATTTGAATGTTTGAAAGTTTGAATTTGAATGTTTGAATATTCGAATTTAAATATTTGAATTCAAATTTGAATTGGCTATGAAAAGTTGTTTCATAACAAAATGATAAGATAAGATCTTGTTGGAACAAATCACTAGTATCAAGAGGAGATCTTTTGGACATGATCCAAGAAGATTGGGGCGCTGATTTTGGCTGTTGGTGAGTGTCATTTAGTCATCAAAATCAGCTCCAAAAGATACGGTCTGTTGGGAGAATATTTGAGTGAGTTGATTCAAGTTTGAATGCAACTACTCAAACGTATCTGGACTCCTTTTGGGACTGAATGGGGCGCACAGTATGAGTGGTCATGTGATGACCATCAGGTCAGAATCTTGATTAGATAAAGACCTTATCTCATAAGGATTCAATGGAGAGGTTGTTGGGAGTTTTGAATTGCAACAACTCCTTTATCTCCTCATTTGTTGTGCGTCACTTTCATGGGATTTTGAAGTGAAAAATCTGATTTCACTTATTTATTCCCTCACTCTCTTGTGCAATATATAAGTGTGTTCCCCCTTAGGGTTTTTAAGTGAAAAACCTAGTCATTCTCTCCTCCTTCCATGCGCCACCTTGTGAGGTTTTCTCTCTAAAAACATCACACTTCTAAACACATTTGCCTAGCCTCCTCTTTCATACATTGAGCGCATAGCAAGCCTCATTGTGGTGATCAATTGGTGGTTCTACAAGAAGGAGTTCTTGCATCTAGACGCGGGTGATGTGGATCAACGTTAGAGGGTTTGAACCCTTCAAACCTGACCTTGATCGTCCTGAAGTTTCACGAACAAGGTATAATATACGTCTTAAAGCACGTATCTTGATATGCATGTGTGTTCCGCTAGCGAAAAATTTTGTTTTTCCCTATCACATGCCTTGACCTTCAAGGTCATTTTACTTTCACCAAATGTTTCAATTATCAGTTTATTTAAAAAATCCTATCTAATATCAATAATAAACATAATTCCTGAAATGAAACCAAAAAAAGTGGAAAGTATTTGCTACAGTAATGGATATGTAATACTTTTCAATTGTTTTAATGCACAGAAAATACAGCAACAAACAAATTCAGCTTAAAGAGGAAAAAATTCTCATAGAAAGGGGATGGAAAGTAATGATGACATCCTATCCAGAACCTTGCTGTACCTTGATTTGCAGGAAGCTTTGACAAATTTATTTTCAAAGTGAGGTTAAAGCCATCCCTTGGAGGATCGAGAATTTGTAAAAGGCCACCATATGCAGCTTTTATTGCTTCAATGGCTCCTAAAGGAAGTCCATGGACAAAAATAGTTTCTGAAGAGGGGGTAGGCAACGATACTGATAGCAACAAAATATGAGGATTTTTCATTGACACCTACAATAATTATTGCATTGTCAAATGGGCAACCCAAAACTGTCGAAAACCTACTTATATCTAATAAAATCCATCTAGTGTTAAATTTAACCAGCAACACTAAGGAATCAAAGGTAGTCATCCAAATATTTTCCATAATAATTGTCTCCATCAAAAACATTGTTACCTGAATATGGTATCGAACATCATCAAACTCCACCCAGTGGTGATCCAGTTCAACTCCTTTTTCAAGACTGAAAGTGTGACAGATCATTAAAGCATCAGAAGTAAGTTCAGGTTTCATGATAATTTGCTTGATCAGCAAAAGTAAGGGAAACAATTGACATAGCTGGACAAAAATGGAATTCAAATGGTGTAGTCTCTTTAGCAGGAAGTGTAAACTACAACCACTTGTAAAAACACTAACAGGTAAGGACCAAGAACCCAGCAAGCTTTCACACTGAATTAGCAAATATTCCTGAATTGTTAATGTGGATAATTAGTTGTTTCAGACTTTCAGTTGGTATATTTATTCTGTTGTAGTGATTACAGATGCAAAATTCATACAGCTAGCTCTCTCTTTCAGGAATAAAATGATATAGTACAGTGCCTTTCTCTTTGTTAACATTGCTATCCAGAGGTTGGGATTGGGATGATAAACCTTGAATCCCACCTGCTTGACCCGCTGCCAGCAGTGAAATTTCATACCAACGGTGGTTTAACAAACATCTGGTGGTGACTCCACAAGCTTGGCCATTGCCAGCAGTGAACAATTTCTCCAGAAAACCATCATATTTGACACCTGTGACCTCTTCTAGTTGAAACTCAAACCAGGTCTCAAGTATTCAGTATCCTGGCCAACTTAAACCACAGGCTACCTTAGATTCCTCCAACCAGAAAAACCCACAAATCTCATATCCATGCGCCATTCCTCTGCTCTATGTGTGAGCTTCATGCATCAGTAACTCATCAGCACATAGACCGGCACACCACCCAAAAACTCCAGAACCTGCAAAGATTGTTTTCTCCGCCCTTCCGGCCTGTTCAAACTATTTTCCAAAGGTTTCCTGAATCTGAGTTGCACCCAAGTTTGAAACCAAGCATGATGGGACAAAATTTTTTGTAAAGAACTAATTCAACCTAAAAGCTTAAACTATTAGGTGAAAGGCACATTAATGGTTTTATATTATATCTCTCTAACATGCCACCTCACACAAGAACCTATTGGGCTTGAAGGGTGGACAGTGCATAGGCCCATCCTACCTAGGCTAAGAAACTTCATAATATTCAATTATTTTTTTAATAGAATGGAGGGAGATGAGGATCGAACTCGTAACCTTGTGTAGAAAACCTATACATTGGGTACATTGTTTATAGAGAAGCAAAGGGGCCTAAAGGAGTAAACCCAAATCCTAGAATACAATCTGACTATTAAAGGAAATAAATCAGTACAAAAAAATTTCATATTTACAAAACTCTCCAAAGGCCGATGTTGCACCCATGATTGATGTTTCTTGTTAGAGAAATATAATATGAAACCGTTAATGTGACATTCACCTAACAGCTAAATCTTTTGGGTTGAATTGATATATTACATGGTATTAGAGCCTCTGTGACCAAGTGGTCACGAGTTTGATTCTCATTGCCCTCATTCTATTAAAAAAAATAAGAATTAAATATTGTAAAGTTTCTTAGCACAGGTAGGCAGGGCCTGATGCATTGTTCACTCTTCAAATCCAATGGGTTCTTGTGTAAAAGAGCATGTTAGAGAGATGTAATATAAAACCATTAATATGGCCTTCACCTAACAACTTAAAATTTTGGGTTGAATTGATTCTTTACATTTCTAAAGTCGATCCCCCTCACCCCCAACTCCAATCAATTTTAACACATTTAGACCAATGACCTAGGCAAACATCCAATACTCTCATTCGACCGTTGCCCTGCTCAAAATCCAACTTGATAACCACGTGTCACTCTTGCAGCAATTGTTGTCATCCACAAACTCACTTGCCATTAACTACATCTAGTATTTCCCTATCCCCTAACAGAAGCACTAGTAACAAAAATAAAGCCATCTCACAACTAGAAAGCTCAAGGGATAACATCTTATAGAATAGAGATTATTGTGTAAACAGCAGTAACCAAACTGATTGGCCCGTAATCTTTAATCTCCATGAACTGAATATTTCTAGGATTCAAACTGATAAAAGTTGAAATAAAAACAATCCCATTCTTCTTCCTATTGTTGAAGAACTCAGTAAAACCCTTCAAAAGATCATACTTCATAGTCTCCTAGGCCCTAGCAACCCTGAAAGAAACTAATAGTGACCCCATCTGGACCTGGGTCCTTAACATTATTTGAATCCCAAATTGCCTTCTTCCCTTCTGCTTCAAAAGATCACTCTAACCAAATGGCCTTATCACCTACTAAATGGTACCAATTCAAACCATCAATAAAATGTTGAAAAGGGACTGCGTCAATGTAGAGAACACTAGAAGTTAGTGATTTCACAGCAATAGAACCTAGTTGTCACTTCCCACAAAACTATCTGATTATACAGCTCCCACTCCTTAATGAAGCTGCTCATTCTTCTCCCAATAGCAAACCTATTGAAAGAAACCAGAATTAGCATCACCCTCCTTAGCCCACCTTATCCTATAATTTGGTCTCTAACTAGCCTCTTCTACAAACAAAATCTCTTCAAAATCATTAAAAAGTGTAGCTCACCTAGCCAACTGTTCATTTACTAAATCACCCTCACTAGCTAGACAATCCCAAGCCTCTAACCTTGACAATCCCAACCCTCTAACCTTCCCATCCACCAAACAGCAATCACCCCTCATTCTTTTATTTGGTTATGAAAAGAGTGAAGTTGCTTGCTAACATAAATTTTCAAACCAAAGAGGAACAAGACAAGGCAAAATGCACATGCCCACCCTATCTAGTGATGAAATTCAACATTAATTTAAATGAATGGTACAGCAAGTATCAAACTCCTGACCATTTGGTCATAGAGGCTCTAATACCATGTCAATAACCAAATCTCCTAAAAACATAAGCTATTAGGTGAACACTCATGAATCGTTTTATATCTAATAAAACAAAACTCAATAAAAACCTGAAGCAAGCCCTGAATCATTATATCCCAACAATGGAGTATTGAATCTAGCATCATGTGCTTCCTAAGTAAGCTGCGTGCCATTAGGTTAGGGTACAAGTACATTAACAACAATCTTAAATTTTTGCATGAACTTCTATTGTCAGTTATTACCTTCCCACCCTTTCACCCTACACTCCACTCCTTAACCTTCCCAGAGGAATAAAAAAAAAAGGAAGCACTTGTGCTACAAATTAGAATTCACCCACACTTTGACCCTTTTGCTCAGATACCCAAAGAAACACAAAGAGGGAAGGGAAAACCAAAATGACAGAAAAGAAAAAGAGCTTGTTTAACAGCAGAACCCAAAATGAGGTAGTTGTGTTGTATAGTTGAGTTAACCCAATCAAACAGGGCCCAAAATGGTTCGAAATTCAATCAACAGTGTCAAAATTAGCAGGTATTGAGGGAAGAGGGAACGTACTTTTGAGCCCGATTCAACAAGGTCTGGAGCAGGAATCTAGAATGAGACTGCAAGAGTATCATGGATGATAATGATGATGATGTTGTTGTTGGAAGAGAGAAAGCGAAAGAGATCGAGAGGAATTCTTTTCTTCGTGTAAGGGATTTCGATTTAGATTTAGATTTAGTTTTAGATTTAGATTTAAAAGCAAAATCAAAATTTCATATATATGGATTTCCTAAAAAAAATTATATATGGGATTACTGTGCTGTTGTCACCGTGTCTATCCTATGTCTACGTCGATTCCTTTGCTATGCTAGCTTTTTTTTTTTCCTTTTACTATATTATTTTGTTTTTAATTACTTGTTTATTTAATGATTACATCACTACTTGACAATTTATTTTAATATTTAATTAATAATTTCTTAATATTAAAATGTTTAAATATTTTTTAATAAAAAGTAAAAATAAGATAGAAAAAAAAAACTTCTTTTTCTACTGCCTTATAGAAAGTTTAGGTGAAATTAGGTATACTGCCGAAGCCTGAAAAACTCTCCAATCTTTTGGGAAGTGTTTGATTAAGATAATGATGAGAAATTTTTGTGCCCGGATAAATTATCAAAAAGTGTTTGGGAGGCAAAAAATTTACCGAAAAAGTTGAGTTATTTTTATTAATGCTTTGTTTGGTTGATGGTGAAATATTGATAGGAATATGTAATGAAATTACCCATTATAGATTTTTTCAAACAAGTTGTACTTGATATAGATTTTTTGAGGGCATTTTTGTCTACAAATAGTAAAAGATGTTTCTCCATTCTTGATTTAAAAAATGGGAAAAGTGTTTGTCATTTTAAATGACAGAAAGTTATGTCATTTTAAGAGAGATACAGACACAGAAAATTTGAATTTTAAATTAAAAAAAACCATCCACTTTCTCTCTCCCATGATTTCTGTTTTTCTGTGTCTATCTCTCTCCTAAAATGATATAACTTATGTCATTTAAAATGACAAACACCAAACCCTTAAAAAATACCACACTTCAAACTACCATTTTATTTTTCATTGCCTAGTTCAAAAAAAAAGTCATGGGAAAAATAATATACTGATTTTTTATAACTTTCAGACATACCAAACATGGATAACATATTTTGCCTGCCCTACTTTCTCAACATTCTTATTAAATTCTCCATACCAAACATCTTGATGATTTTGTGAGGGATTACATAGTGCCAAAATAAAAATCATTAAAAACATTTTTTCTTATCATATTTTCATAAAAGTGGATGTGTTTGATTAATTGTTTCTCTTTATAATGAAAAACACTTACTTTTATATGTGAGTGACAAAAAAATATTTCTATAACAAAAACAAAATGTTAAACCATATAATACTATATATTAAATTATATAGAAAAATATTTCTGCAATTACTGCAGATAAGTTATCTGCATTTATTCCCAAAACGACGTCGGTTGGGATTGGAATATTAAAAAATTTAATTATAAAGACTATAATAATCCGGAAATAAATTAAAATTATAAAAACACTATAATTTCCGTCCCAAAAAGACATCGTATTGAGCTTACTGCAGATAATCTATCTGCAGTAACTGCAGAAAAAGCGAACCCTAAATTATATTACTTGTTATTAGAAGTATTTGTGATTGGATAAACTTATTTCAATGTTAAGAAAAAATTATCAAAACATTTATAAGAAAGTTTTTAAAAAATTATTATTATTTTAAGATAATTGTTTACCGAAACATAACATAAAAATAATAATGAATTAATATAATTCAAAAAAAAGGGGGTGGTCGAGGTGGAGTCACCCCCTCCAAGTGGAGAAAAATCTCAATGCACCATAAGCACTGAACTTGGTGCTTCTTTTTACGAAAGATGGGAAAAATTTCCTTTTAAGGGAAATATAAAAAAAAAACATGGATAGAACATGAAATTTTTAGTAAAAAGAAGAATCGAGTTCGGTGGTCCGAGTACATTGAAGTTTTTATCCTCCGAGTGACTAAATAAGATAGTTTAATAATATAATATTATTATTTATTAAAAAAACCCTCATCTATTTAAACTCCTTAAGGGGTAAGAAGAAAGACCCACCAAAGAAGAAAAAAGAGAAAGGTAATATTATGAGAGAATCTAAGGGTATCCATGACAACCATTTGGGGTGGTTAACTCAACCACATCAAACCCAGAAAAGGAGGGAACGTCTGATGTTCACCTGTGCTCCATAAAAATATAACATGTTTCGTGGCAGGAACGTGGTTTTGGGGTGGTTAATTAACCACATAACCCCATTTAAAAAAAAAAAGAGGGATGCGTATGTATATAATAATGTTGATTTATTTTTCTTCTTTTTGGTTAAGTTCAATCTATATAAATGTATTTTTTTTGTCACACAGATGTTAAGTTTTAGGTTGCTTGAAAGAGGAACGTTCCCCAAGCTTGTGGGATAAGGATACTGAGGCATTAGGGACACCTGTCTCTGTTGAGTCACCTCAAAGCACGCAGCCGTTACCAATTTGCACTCATTACAAATTTTCAAAACGTGCTCCAAGAAAAGCAACTGTCTATTCAGCCATTAATACAACTTCTCCTCTCCTCTCTCTCCCACAATCTTGCCCTACAATTGTTCCATCTCCTCAACCTGTCATCAGAAGCTACAACCTTTAATCCCTGACCACTCGTTTTGTAATGCTCCCTCCCCACTACTTCTTCAACTTCCCTCCACAACCTCCACGTCTGTAAAACTGCTCACCTTCTCTATTCAGCATGCCTATTTAACTCCCTTCCTCCCTCGTGTTTATACATTATCATTTTCTCATAAACTCAGAAAGCCTAAGTCTCATTCTTCTCCTAATATTTCCCTTACTCTTCTCTTATTTTGCCCTAATCCTCTTCAATCCAAAAATCATGACAAGAGTCAAGATCATCATAACACCTGTTTCTGACTACACCCAAGAGCCAGAGATTACAGAGAGCAATGTGACCCTTTATCCAGAGAGGTACATTCAGCTGGGGAAATATAAAACCCTTATGCCTACTTTCGTATATGTTGCATTGATAAACCTTAAGTGGCGTAAGTTTGCAACAGCAGAATGGTACTTCTATCCATCCCTGATGGCTGAATTTTTATACCATGCAAAGAGGCTTCCAAAGGAGAACCAGAAGAAAGAGGTGATGGTTCAAGGAAAGAAGGTCTCATTCTCCCCTGAATCTATCAAGAACGTGTTATCACTACTAACCGTGGACAACTGTCCATATGCAGAGTACATAGACAAGAAAGATGGCCCTGAATTCAGATTGGAAATGCATAAGGTAATAGCTTTTGGGAAGCCCACATATTCCAAATGAGCACTCTGCAAGGGTAGCCTGTTGGATAAGGCTAGGTTTTGGTACCTGTTTGCCAACACCAACTTAACCCCTTCAACCCATAATGCTACTGTCAAGTGGGCATTGCAAGTACAGATATACTGCATCATGAAAAACATCTTTTTTGATGCAGTGCCTCTCATTTATGAGAGCCTGAAGAAGGAAATCAAGAAAACCACCAACTGTCTTCCCAGTTTGATCTCCAAGCTCTATCTAAGAGCTGGTGTGCCCACTCTTCCAGATGAGGATCCAACAATTGGGTCAGTCCTTGACCACAAGACTTGGAATAACTTGAGGATCACATACATCGAAGAAGCTCCCATAAACCTCACTGAGCACAATATTAGATATGGAGTTGTTGTGCTCAACGAGGAAGAAGATGATGAAGAAAATAAGGAAGAACAAGAAATCCCTGCCCCCAAACCTGCCAAAATGAAAAAGAAAACCTCACAAACCAAGAAGCCTACATCTACCATTCCAGCCACTAAATCCTCCAAATTCGTTCCCCCTCCCTCAAAAGTAAAGAAGGAAACTCCTGCTACTACTGAGAGCAAGCTTGGAAAGAAATCTCCTTCCAAATCTCATTCCAAACCCCTTTCAAAAACTCCTCACAGAAAGGAGAAACATTACAGTCAGAGGCTAAAGAGAACATTCAGCAGTACAAAAAGCTCAGAGGGATCTACCTCTGAGAAACCCATCACTCTCTCTGATAAGGAAGAGGACAGTGAGGATGAGATCCCTATTGCCAAAAGGATAAAGAGGAACGAAGCCTCAAAAACACATGTTGCTACCAAGGAGACGTCCCCAGGTAGTCCTGAAAATTTGGTTTCTCTGACGTTCCTTCTTTTCTGAGATCACCTCCTCATTCATCACCACCACCACAAGACAAACCACGACAACCCCCTTCTAAGGAACAAGAGGAAAGGGGAAAAGAAAAGCAAATGGCTGAGCAAGAACAACAAGAAGCTCAGCCACAGAAAAACACTGACAAAGATAAGGGGATTGCTCACAGTCCCCCTAAGAAGAAAAAGCCATTTGTCCCCAGATAAATCAATTTGGGGGGACCCCTGTCTTCTTTATTCATTCGTCCTGACACCTCTGGGGACGAAGCATTGGCTAGAGCCCTAGCAGAAGAAGAAGGACTTGACGTTCCTCCACTGATGGAGGAACAGGTAATCCCCTCTACCTCAACAACTTAGGAGATAGCAATCAGTAAGCCACCTAGTGATAAACCATCATCTTCAATTCCCCAGCCAAAGAGTAATCAGAAAAAGAAGAAGCCGACACCTCTCATCCCAGCAATACCTATTGCAGCACGAATCAAATCTTAAATAGGTATTGCTGAGATCTTTGAGATGATGGGAAAGAAAATGGCTAAACTGCTTCCGGAAGAGCCAATCGTTCCCTAAATAGACACATTCAATACAACAGAAGAGCTCAAAGCCTTGAGGAACGAGGTGGAATAGCTCTCCTCTGCCTTCAACCAATTTCAAGAACAACAAAGGGCAGAGAGGAAACAGTTCCTCAACTCTGTCACCATAGCTATCAAGAACAGCAACACTACACCCTCTACAGCAACCCTACAAGCTGTTAGAAATGAAGTTCAAGATGCAGCTAACTCACTAAAACATGCTCATTCAATGCACAACACTAGAGTTGAGCTGCAATTCAGACGTCTTTTGAACAAGGATGATGTGGAACGTGCTGAAACCATAGAAGCTTTTAAAGTCTTTGGCACGTTCCTAGAGGAGGAGATCACTTAGCTGGAGGACAAGGTAGAAGAT